TTTTTTATTTTACTTTAGCTCTTTCTTTCTGAGCGCGTGTGTGTGTGTGTGACTGTAGCTCTTTTATTCTCTTTATCGTCATTTGGCTACAGTCTCCTGTATTGAGCTAAACGGCTTCTTTCCTCTCGCCGCGTGTGCGCGCGCGGGCCGAGCACTTTCCCGCCATTTCTGGAGCCCCGCCGACCGTTGGTGCCCAACCGCCGCAGGTGACGCGCCCGGGGTAGAGAAGGGGAGTGAGCCGGCCCCCCCACCCCCCGCGGTGCTCAGTGCGCAGGCTTGAGATTGGGAGGGGTATTGGTGTCCTGGCTACGCCCCGCTCCCTTGGCAACGGGGTGGGGTCCGCGGCGGGAGGAGGCCACGCCCCCAAGCGCAGGCCGGTGTGCAGCCGGGTGGGTGCTGATTGGTTCCCGATCCCTATTGCCGGGGGTGGGGCTCGGCTGGCCTGGCGCGTCCCGCCTTGGGGGTCGCGCTGCTCAGCGCCTGCACTGACTCGGCCCGACCCTTGGCGAGGCGGGGGGTGGGGGGCGTACCTGCATGAGACAGGCAGGGCACCACTACTGCGGGCTCTGCTGGGGCGGGGGGTGCTAGGCGGGGAGGAGGGCGGCTGGTTTATAACACAAGCAAGAAATCGCGTCGTGTGCGTGCGTGTCTATGTGCGTGCGTGTGTGTGTATGGGGTGGGGGGGGGATCAGTGGTTCCCTTTTCCTGTTTTATTTGCAAAACTGAAACCAAGTGCATCATGGAGACAGGTCCTTCTCCCGCCAGTCGCAAGTGCATCTGTGTCATGAGTACAGCTTCCTAACAGCACGAGCTGCGGTTGCCTGGGGGGGAGAACTTGACTAGGACAATCGTTAGCTATAATATTGAGATAATAACCGTTAGCTATAATATTATAACATTGAGATATAATAATCGTTAGAGCTACTGAAAGTGTCCTCTACCTCTGCTGAGATAACTGATGATTTACATCCGTCTTTCCCTATTGCTCATTGACTGTTCGGTCTGCCTCTAGTGGAGCTTAGTATCCAGCTATGTATTTACATATAAATATATAAAAGTAGTGTAAATGATTGGTTTTTGAGCTTTGTGACATGGTCCAGGAGTATTTTGGGGGAGCTTCATTTGTGTTAGGTGTTTTTCTTTCTAAAGCCGACTGGCAGGAGATGGGCGGGAGGATCAGGGAGCAGTGCTGGTGGTTTGCATTTAGTAAGTAACCGACTGAGCAATGTGCATGTTTGCAGGATCCATCTTCAGGGCTTGATGAAGACTCTAGCAGTTGCGTTCAATAAAAGGATTGAGCATGGTAATATATTAACTTTTTAAACCATAATAGATTTCATGTGTTTAGTGTACACAATGAATAGTCAAGGCTGAAGAATACAAAATGACCCATCTACTGTCCATCTTAACTTGTCTGCATGGGTGCTGCCAGATTTCTTTCACCTGATTTGCCATCCCTTTGTGCCAGCAGTAGAGGATTGGCAAGTGGGTCATAAAAAAAAACAAACCGATTTAATTAAATCTTCATTACAGTTTTTGCAAGAGTAGGGATATCTCAGCTTCTCTGAAAAGTGCTCAGGGCAATGGGCATGGTATAAGAACGTGCATGTAGTAAGCATCGGGGCAGATATAAGGTACAGGGGAACTACGACCTATGCAGTGCTGTGTAAAAAGACATTGGTAAGGTTATAAAACAGTGATTCTCAACTCGGGTATCCTGGCATTGTCAATACTAAGTGTGCAAGATTTGCAAGATAAATCCAGAGATTTCAAATAGGAAGCTGCATTGTCAAAGGCATTCTGGCTTTCTGAGGTCCCTGGAACAGGAGAATCGGTCTGGTTTTTTTTCTGTCGTCAAAAATAGAGCTAAAACTAAGAGCTGGCTTTTTCCAGGGCGCGTGTCAAGGCTAAAAGGGTTGAGACCCACTGTTCTTGGAAATTTCTGGGTTGGACTCCTCAGGGTTGGTTTGCAGTATGCCAGCCAGATATACAGACTTTCAGCTTCATGTTGCTACAGTTAATGACCAGAGAGGAAATAGGGAGCCAGCACTCATCAGAAATCATGAAAGTGTTTGCTGTTGACTGAAGCAAAAAATTGAAGATGAGGACCATCCATTGCAATAAGAGAAAGCAGCAGTGGCCAGAGTTGTGAACCAGTGCCTCCTCTTGAATCGCTTGGTAGCTCTACAAGTTGCACTTCAGTGGAGTGGCTTTCATCTTGCAGGATTGCAACATACTTTGTCCGTTTTAAAAACACAGGCCAGATTCCAGCAGGAAAGTAATTGCACTTGTAAAGTTTGCCCCTTACATTCATTTTCACCACACAAATCTTGGAGGCTTGCTGAAAATCTAACTTTCTGCCTAAACATCTGAACTGTAAACTACACGTTGCATCATGGTGATGACTATTAAAAAAGAAGTCAACTATCTAGTTACTAACTGTATAGAAGTTTGTCCTTACACTATCAGCTAGATGACTGATTTTGGGCAGGTTGCTCTCCAGATGACTGGAAGTATTGTTTGCTAAATCTTAATCTGTTATGGCTTGTACTCTGTACTTTCTCATCAGGCCTTTCCATTTTAATTTTCTGACTGCCACAGGTCAGCTCCATTTCATTTTAATGACTTTGTCTCCTTTCTTAACTATATACGTTTCTTCAGGTGCCCCTTTGGGTCGATACAGTGGGCTCTGCTGTGTCCTGACTGTATCCTTGCATTTCAAGACACAAACTCATATCTTTCTCTGAGCCAATGCAGGCACTCTTCAAACTTTATGCTGTGAAAAAATATACATGCCCTTCCACTTCATAATTTGCAAAAAACTGGAAAAGTTATGCATGACATTTCTAATGGTCTCAGACCCACAGGTGTTTCTTATGCATCCACTGGTGCATTTTTTGTGAGGAATACAGTGATTTGTCATTTAGTGTGTCAAATAAGATGTAAAAGTGTCACTACGTGGGCAGTTGTACCAGGTTACATGCATCTTGGATGAGCTATCAATCACTCAGGAAGTATAGGGATTATGTATTTTTTCTTTCGGGGATGACTTCTTATTCCACCCTCTGCATTTCATTTCCCTATGGCATTTTCCCACCTCAAGGTCTTGTACTGCTGCTATCTATCATCCTTGTAACTGAAAGAAGACCAGTCTGATCTCCCTTTGAACCCTAGCAGTGGTGCTTCTTAGCTGTGCTTTGGTCAGGGTTTCAAGAGGAGAGACTGCATTGCCATTTAGGTGCTGCTCGATGAGAAAAATGAAACGAGCTCCACCTGGAGCATCTGCCGTCTGAGGCAGGACTTCAAGAGGTTTGTGCCTGTTCCTAGTCTTTGAAAAATAATGGACATCTTTCCATCATTTTCAGTAGTGTGAATCAGAACATTTTTGATATCTGCTGTGCATACATTTATTCTTATTATTGGTTGTTGTTACAAAAATAATAAAGGCTTATATTACGGTAGCTCCTAAAGGTCACAGTAGAATGCTGTGTAAACAGGGAAAGAGATGATTGATACCCCAATTTACAGTCTAAAGACACAAATGGACTATAACTAATGGATGGAGGTAAAGCATGCAATTCAGGCATTTCAGCATTGCTTTTTAGTGCAAAAAACAGAACAAGCTCTTGGTAATTTGTGTTTCTGTACGCAGTTACAGCTTCCACCCCGTGCAAATATTTTTAACTAGATATCAACAGAGTAGAGAGCCTTAATTGAGCTGTCAGGTGATTCCATCAAAAACATCTACTAACCTTTCTTTTTCAAAATCCAGCTCAGACCATTGAGGTGACATGAATTTGGAAGGTTTGTTTTTATGGCCCATAGCTATTAATTCATACATAATATTTTGTATTAATTACTATACACATACACAAATTAATAAATATTGTATGTGCAGATCATTAGTTTATGGTGACCTGTGATGAAGTAGCAATGCTGAGGTGAGGATTGGGGTACAGAGGGCACAGTTGAATATGGGAGCCCAGGATTGGAGGAGCAAATAATTTAGGAGTGGGCTAGCTAGAATTCTTGTGGATGGTGTTGACGCAATCCAGTTTCACATCTGTTTGTAAACCTTGTGGGGGTTGTTTTACCTTTTGCAGGCGGGCAAAGGTGGCAAATCCAAGCATGGCAAAGGCAAAAGCAAAGGCTCCAAGAAGAAACCAAAGAAGTCGGTGATTGAAGTGGATATCCTCAGCCCAGCTGCCATGCTGAATGCCTACTACATTGCCCACAATGCTCCAGCCTGCTTGGAGTTTCGGGGCTTCCCTTGGCCTGGCTCACCCAAAAGGAAAGGCAAGAAAGGAAAGTAGGAACCTGATGGCTGGAAGGAGAAAGACCATGACGTACCAAGCTTCACCTGACTTGTTGAGGATAGAAACCAAGTTGATAACTCAGGTCTCTTAAGTTTTGCCATAATCACTGTGAAGGGCACTTGTTATGAAGTCATTCTTGGTATGGTTTTGAGCATATGGAAGTAAATGTTAAAACACAGTTTAATGTTACCCTTGTCCTTTACCCTTCTAGGAAATAATAAAAAAAAAAGTACCTGTATCGGCAGTTCTATGATGTGCGGAGAGATGACTTTGGACTTTGTTCCTGCTACTGTTATGAATCGAAGGTCTCTAAAAGATACCATGTATTCATGCTTTCATGGCTGCAAGCGCTTGAAGTGAAGGTGGCCAAAGTGTAGCCTCGTAAGAGAGAGGCTGTGGAGACTTCAGATGTCAGCATGCAGTCATCTGCCTTGGTTCAAACATCCTGACTGAAGGGTGCAGATTTCATGGTCAAGAGTGGCTGTTTTGTACTAAATTAAATGCAGCCTACAGGTACCTGGCAGATTACCCACCTGACCTCTAGTTAGCAGTGTTTGGTTGCTCTCAGTGCATGCTTTCAGTGCACATTTGTACAATCACAGAGCTAGTTCAAGCGAACTTTACTGCCTTTGTTCCCCCTCTTCTCCTCATCTATCCCCTCCCCTCCCCTTATTACAAGGTCCAAGAATTGGATAATCTATCCCAAATTATGATGCTGTGCCAACTAGGAGAGTGGGGTGCAGCAGGTGGGGCTCGGAAGTAGGGATCCTGTCTAGAACTGGTGCATGTTGTGGATGGAGTTAGCAAAAAGTGGATAGATGTTAAAATTGGTGTTGAGGAATAGAGGATCTGTAGAGAGCCAGTGCTGTAATAAAATGGGGAGATATTTTGATTCCTTAGGACACTCAAGTACCTGCCAGCATGAAGCAGTTCATATTGCACACTGTGTGGCACTGTCACTTGAGCAGAAAAGGCCACCCCATTCTTTCAGTCAGTCCCTAGTAAAAGTAAGATCTCTTTCTGTGCAGATTTGGCAGCATTTTCTGAGCAGGACCTGGATTAGACTGCAAGCTTACTCTGTGCTTCTTTGTAGGGAGCAATTTGGTGTGTTTCTGATTCCTGTCTAATGTTACACTACAGATTATGGAAGAGGCATTTTGAAGCAGTAAGAATTTGACTGATCCACACACTGGTATTACATGTGTGTTAGTCCTTGCTTTGTCCTTGCAAGATGAGTTTTTCCCTCCTTCCACAAGTCCCATCTGGAAAGCTCATGGTGTTGTGGATTTGCTAACGAGACCAACTGTTTCAGTGCTTTATGTTCATGTAATCTGACTACTGTGGTGGGGTTGCACAGCTCTAATTGAATTTGATTCATATGGGCAGTTAGCAAATTCAGGGAAAGGAGCAGCTTCTTTGCTAACCAGCACGTCTTGAGCATGTTCCTGTCAATTTGGAGGTGTATGTTTTTGTATGTTGTATCCACATCGGAGCGAGTATGCCCATAGGGGAAGTATTCTCCAAACGGAGAATACAAAATGTTACCTTATAAACTTCTTCAAGCCAGTTTTAATGCCTTGTTTGCCAGAGAGAGATGTACAAAAGGAGCAAGAGACTACAGGAAAACTGGTACAGTCTGATATCCAGACGGAGCTGTTGGTTTAATGATAACACTAGAGCAGCTGCTAAGGTCTTTCCCAGACTCTCGAAGAGACTGTGCATCCAGGCACTACAACACACTTACGTTTTGCTTGCTGTTCTCTGAGGCTATCTCCACTTTTATTTTTCGAGTGATGCTGCAAAGTCAGACTGAATACATAACTCATTCCATGATTATATCCTCTTCCTGTTTTGTGGACTGCCCACAATTAGTTGACATTTAACAAATGAAAAAAAAGACAACTTTAATTTGTCAATTATTGACAATGAGGTCAATCATTTCTGTTCTGTAGATTGTGAATACATGTCAATTAGAAAGGTGTGCCACGTGCCATCTTCTGCTACCTGATTCGCCTCCAGTTCAAATACAGCAGAAGCCCATGCAGCTTTTGGAGTAGAAAGATCTGAACCCTGTCCCTGATGTTAAGAAATTTGGGATGGCCACCCTCCCCACTCCCTTCTTGTGCCACTTGATTTTGCTAACAGTTCAAAGCAGATGCTGCTTCGAGAGAAATTCTTTTTTTCAAAAAAGAAGAAAGACTGTCAACAAGTAACCCACATTTAGTGCTGAATGCAACCCAGATCGTGAGGAGGCAGCCCCGGGCATGAGGGAGAACAGAAAAATCTGTCATAAACTGAGAGGGTCTTTGCTTCATCTCAGGTCTGGATGGGATGGGTATTACTTCTAGGGAATATCTGCCATGCTCACTTGGGCCTAAAGCTCTTGAATCACTAGCAGTTTATTCAGGTCTGTTAAGGAGTCTGAAACTTTTCCAGTAAATCTCAGATTGGAAGAAAATACTTGGCTCTCTAACGTCAGATGTCGAAACCCCCCAGTCTCTTAAAAAAAAGACTTCAGACTTTTCTCTGATGTCCCAAATGCTCCACAGAACCATGTACAAGGTGCTATTTGAGCTGCTTTTTCACTGATCTGTCATCCCACAAGTGTTGAACTAGAGAGAAATAGTCCCTGAAGGACAGAATCGACCTTTTGTGGCTATTGCAAGTAAAAGGGAAGTGTGAGGTAAGCACTATACATTTCTAAACCTGTGAAAAAACCTGAACGTTTAAGCATTTATGTGGATGAAAAAGTCCTACAATATTATATTGTTAGAAGTGATATCCACCATCCTCCTCCTTTGCAAAAGTTAGCTTCTTGCTAGTCAATTTAGGAAAGATTACTTCCCTGCAGGTAGCTTACTCCACACCTACTTTCTGTAAGATTTTTTTGAACTTCCTCTTCAGCAGTTTTTACTGATCCCTGACAGAAGCTGGGTGCCAGACTAGACAGACTGCTGGTTCAGTCTGTGGGCACAGGCAGATGTAAGATTTGTAGTGCTCTAGGTATCTTTAAAGTACTCTGAAAATGCCACCTGCAGAAAAAGCAGTTTAAATTGGTCCTATCCACCTCAAAAATGACTGTGGATGAAATGGGAACAATTGTGAAGCATTTGGTGTCATGTTTGCACCCTGTTACAGCTATGTTCCCAGTCTTAGCACATCTGTAACAGACTAAGTGGATCTAGTTTTTTGCAAAAAAAAAAATGCAAACTGCCCCCCCCAAAAAACCCCCCAAAAAAGACAAAACCAAACTAGTGGGGGGAGCTGAGGAAAGGGAATCCCTGAGAACCGGATCTCATTTTCTTTTATAAAATCACAGAAAATGAGGGTTGGAAGGGACCTCGAGGTCACATCTAGTCCAACCTCCTGCTCTAAGCAGGACCAGCCCCAACTATATCACCCCAGCCAAGGCTTTGTGTAGCCAGGTCTTTAAAAATCTCCAAGGATGGAGACTCCACCACCTCTCTGGGTAACCTGTTAGAGTCCTTTACTACCCTCCTAGTGAGAGAGTTTTTCCTAATATCCAACCTAAACCTCCCTTGCTGCACCTTGAGCCCATTACCCCTTCTTCTCTCATCTGCCCCCACGGAGAACAGCCCAGCTCCATCCTCTTTCAAACCCCCCTGCTGTTAATTCCCCCCTCAGTCTTCTTGTCTTGAGACTAAATAAGCCCAGCTCCCCCAGCCTCTCCTTACAAGTCGTGTGCTCCAGCCCCTCAGCCATTTTCACTGCCCTCCGTTCTAACCATTTCCATTATTGTAAATCCATATACTGCAGTTTTTGACATGTGAGAACTAGGAGAGTGTAAATATAAAGCCTGGGACCACTAGTGTGTGGTTGCCATTCATTTATGCTGCTAAGGATTTATATAAAGCTTCCCAACCAACATCTGGTAGAAGACAGGGGACTCTTACCTGCTTTCCCTGACAAGGAAAACCGCACATTTTCACGTTCACCTCCACACCTACTCGCATTGAATTAATTTCTGCAGTGTCAGAGGCTCTATCTTGCTGACATCTCATGGAGATCCCCCTTTAGCTCTGAGAGTGGATGTCACATTTCTGGCAGTGTAGGTCACTGTCAGGTGACTGTTTCAGGTGATCTTACTCATTCTGTTTATCACTGTATGTAGGAGTTAGGACTTGGCAGAGATCCTGCTGCCTGTGATACGTTTTTTTAAGAGGTTGAACCCGTGACCAATAAAATCTGTTCTGCATGAGTCTGCCTGATTTACTTAGGCATAGCTGCTGTCTGCATTTTTATACCCATACCAGTGAATGAAATTCCTGTATGGGGTGCCCTGTTAGAGGTGCATGGTACAAGTCGAATTTTCTTTGTTTCTGGCAGGTGCTGAGGGGTACAGCAGCAATCCACATGTTGTCCTAGGTGGTCGTGTATTTGTTTCAGTATTAGCATTTCCTTCAGTCTGGTGCTTAGCAGTCATTCTCAGTGCGCTGCTGTTGGAGCGTGTGAGATCAGCATTTCCTGTAGGAAATGCTGTCAAAACCAAGTGGTTAAAAATACACGGAGCATGTATATGAGCATGTGTACTGGAAAGCCTGACCCTGTTTATTGCAAGTGTGAAAAAGGCAATGGATTTGTGAAAAAGGGCACAAATTGTCTTCTAATGCAGGGTTGTCCAACCTTACAGTGGCCGTGAGCCCCTAGGCTGCAGACTGTGCTGCCCTGCTCTACCAGCAGGGACAGGAAGCAGAAGCAGGAGGGGAGGGAGCAGGAGCCCAGAGACTGGAGATCCTGGCTGCAGCAGAAGCCAGAGCAGAAGGGGGAATGGTGCCTGGATTGGAGCCCATGGACTGCATGTAGTGCAGGGGTGGGCAAAATGCGGCCCGTGGACCGGATGTGGCCTGCCAAGCCATTTGATCCAGCCCGCGGGGCCCCTAAAACATTTAGAAAATTAATATTAATCTGCCCTGGGCTGCCTATCATGCGGCCCTTGATGGCTTGCCAAAACTCAGTAAGCAGCCCTGTGCCCAAAATAATTGCCTGCCCCTGATGTAGTAGGACAGCCTGGGTTTACCACCCTTGCCAGTAGACTGTTTCAAGCCCCCAGCCTGCATCCCTTATTCTTATTTACTCAAGTTTCCTGAATTGCGGGGTCTTTTCTACTACATATTTTGCCTCTGCCCCCCTCCACATCCTTAGTTCTAGGCCTAAACGATGTGAACTGTCTTTAAACCTAACCTGCAAATTATCTTAACTGGGACTATGCTGTTTTTATGCTGCATAACGGATGAAAAAGGTTTGCAAAACAGCATATGTGTTAAGAATCCCCACCCTTGCTTGTTTTTAAATTATTTTAGAAACATCAAGGTTCCCTACCTTTAGTGGGGGACCTATAGGATTCATAGTGCGAGTGTCATCTCCATAACAGACACACAGATATGCTGAGTCTTCTTTTACCCAAATGGCTAATCAGAGATTAGAATTAAATAGATATTATCAAGAATAAATTACAAGAAAGTTTTCAAGAATTTGAATAAAAATCCTTCTAGGCTCAAATGTTCGGCATTCTTTTCTTTTCATTTCCGTAGGGTTGTGATCTCAGTTGTTTTTCAGTTGCGGTAGAGTCAGTAAACCTAAATGGAACTGACTTTCTTCTTTCTAATTCTAGTCTCTTTCAGGTCTTTCTCCAATTTTTCTTCCTATTCAGGTAATTTTTTTTATTTAAAAAAAATTGAAAGGAAAGACAAGAAGATCACTTACTTCACTGGACCTGGTGTTCTTTGCAATGTTCTGTCCATATATATGCCCCTCTAGGATGTTCATGCACTCCCAGGACAGGCAACTGGAACTATTTTTTCTGCTCCACAGCATCCTTTGCCTGGTTGCTCTTGTGCCCTTCACCCCAAGAGCTTAAAAGGGAAAGAGTGGACCAGCTATTCTTTAGTTATGTCATTAACTTGTATATAGATGTCCCTTAAGTGGAGAGAAGGCAGGTCACAGAATACAGGTGGACGTGTCTTCACGAATACCTGGTTACTGAAAGGCAAGTCACTCTGTCTTCTTTGGAGTAGTGGTCTTCTGCCTGGAAAATCTCAAACAGTGACCTTATTAAAGGAGATAAGTGTATCAAAGAATTAACTCAAAAGAGGTAGTCAGGACAATTGTCTTAGAGCCTGTTCTAAACGTTATGTTGACTGAATTTATGTCCTGAGCACAAGTAGGAGCTCCCCAGACTTCTGCAGATGACTAAAGGAGGCTGCTGAGGCAGCCTGAGCCCTGATAGAAAATTTGACTGGAAGATTACAATTAGCACTCTTGTAATATAACTTGATATATCTAGAAAATCACTGGGAGAGGAGCATCTTTCTCTTTCCCTTTTTTTGGCATAGGCTGAAGATATTTTTACTGAGAATCTGAAATTTAAATAAAATAACATTCTAGCTACATCTAGAACATGCACTCCTTTTTAGGTGATTGTAATATGGTTTGGGGAAAAACCCAAAGGAAATACAGACTAGAGGAAAGTACTGTATTTCTTTTGTATAAGGTAGATACAGATCACTGTGCTTAAAAAGCAATCATCAATGGTTCAATGTCTAGCTGGGAGGAGGTATCAAGTGGGGCTTCGCAGGGGTCTGTCCTAGATCCAGTGTTATTTAACATCTTAATGATTTGGATGATGGGTTTGAGTGCACACATAGCAGATTTGGGAAGGACACTGTGTTGGATAAAGTTGCAGAGACTCTGCAGGGCAGGGCTAGGATCCAACATGACCTGACAGAATGGAAATACTATCAACAATATACCTGATGAGATGGAAAAGGACAAGTGCCAAGTCCTGCACTTGGGACAGAATAACTGCATACAGAAATACAGACCGGTGAATCGTTGGCTAGGCTGCAATAGTGCAGAGAAGGACCTGGAGGTTATAGTGAACCATAAAATGAATGCGAGCCAACAGGCTTTTCTCTGTGGCTGTGGGGCACAAGACTAGCAGCAATTGCTTCAAGCTGCAGCAAAGGAAATTTAGGTTGGGGATAAGGAGGAACTTTCTGATTATGAAGTTGGTCAAGCATTGGAATATGCTACCTAGAGAAGTCATAGCATCTCTACCCCTGGAAATTTTCAAAAGTAGGTTAGACAGGCACTTGGCTGGGATGGTTTAGTCAGGGATGGTCCTGCCTTGACAGGAAGCAGTGCTAGATGACCTCAAGTGGTCCCTTGCTTATGATCTATTTCCTATGATCTCTTGGTGATGATTTTCCCCCCCTGCTGTTTAAGCAGTAAGTATCCAGGTTGCAAGGTGCAAGAATGGTAGCTGTGAGCGAAGAGCTCTCCTTCCCTATTATATTTGGAAGGTAGCAAAACTGGTGTTTGTAGCAGGACACCAAGGAGCCTGCTGCTTGGAGAGCCGGGATAACCCCTCAAGTGCCGGTTGCTCGGGCAACTAGAGAGGGCCAGTGACCCACACCTGCTAGCAGTCAGCTGACCGGAAGGGGCAGGGCCTGGCTCCCATTTAAA